TAGGACCAGTTGAAGCCTCAACTCAACAAAGCAGTGCTGCAAATGTAGTGAGATGGAAGAGTTCTAGAATCAGAAAAAAGACAAAGGAATGAAAAATAGATATTTACTTTTTTTTTTTTGGGTAACAATATAAGATGCAGTTTAGGATATATTTTGGGTGCTTATTTTGCTTCAGAATTGAAACAAAACTTAATTTTGCAGTTTGTTTCAATCTTGAATCATGTTGATATTATCCAATTTTTGGGATGGTTAGGAATATAACATTATATTCATTCCAATTTTTATTACTCCATGAACTAGAGCAACCATTTTTTGTACGTTGAATGAAGATGAATCCATTTTAAATTTTCCTCTTCATTTTCTTTTTATATTTAGGCTCCTGTCTATGTGTTTATTTTAATTGCATAGTCAGGTTTTAATATTGCAGAAGCAACTAACACAGAGAATTCATCAAATTCAATTTATATAAAATTTGATAACCATGTCCATTATAATGTAACCTAGATCACACACTAAAATTGTACCAATTACATGAGATTCAGCATTGCCAAACCCTAAATTAATCTATGCACAAATTAAAAAAAAAAAAAGATCACCATTAAGACAATAGGTACATTTTCTATCTTTGGACTTGATGAGATTCAGCATTGCCAAACCCTAAATTAATCTATGCACAAATTAAAAAAAAAAAAAGATCACCATTAAGACAATAGGTACATTTTCTATCTTTGGACTTGATGTACATGCATTGATAGATCCGGGTTCCACACATTCATATATATGCATTCCCATGGGTATTGAGAGTGGTATTATGGCTGATATGTTAAAGCATGATATTGATGTCACCAATCCTTTTGGACATAAAGTGATTTTGAGTAAGTTGTTTGGAGATTGTCCTATTGTTATTCATAGATATGTTTTTCCTAGTGATTTGATCCAGTTGTCGTTTAGAGAGTTTAATGTCATATTGGGCATGGATTGGCTATATAGACATCAGGTCATGGTTGATTGCATGCTTAAGAGAATCACACTTAAGACCACTGATGATATTGAGGTAGTGGCTGTGGGTGAGAGATCGGACTATCTCTCTAATGTCATTTCAACCGTTAAGGCTAGGCTCCTGATTCAGAAGGGTTATAGTGTTTTCATTGCTTATGCATTTGAATCTGAGCACGATGAGCCTAGTTTGAGTGACATACCTACAGTGTGTGATTTTCCCAATGTGTTTCCTAATGAGCTTCCTGGGTTATCGCCAGATCGTGAGGTTAAGTTTGGCATTGATGTGATTCCGAGTTTTGCTCTAGTTTCTATTGCTCCTTATAGGATGGCTCTTGCCAAGTTAAAGGAATTTAAGGTTCAGCTTCAATAATTGCTAGGTAAAGGATTCATTCGCCCTAGTGTTTCTCCCTGGAGTGCTCCAGTTCTGTTTGTTAAGAAGAAGCATGGTTTCATGAGATTGTGCATTGATTATAGACAGCTGAACAAGTTGACGATTAAGAACAAATATCGGAGTGCTCCAGTTCTGTTTGTTAAGAAGAAGCATGGTTTCATGAGATTGTGCATTGATTATAGACAGCTGAACAAGTTGACGATTAAGAACAAATATCTGTTGCCTCGTATTGAAGACTTGTTTGATCAGTTGAAAGGGGTAGGTGTCTTTTCTAAGATTGATCTAAGATCTGGATATTATCAGATGGGAGTTAGGAAGGAAGATGTGCCTAAGACTGCATTCCGGACCAGATATGGCCATTATGAGTTTCTAGTAATGCCTTTTGGGTCAACTAATGCTCTAGCTGCTTTTATGGACTTGATGAATAGAGTCTTTCATCCCTATCTAGATCAATTTGTAGTGGTTTTCATTGATGATATATTAGTTGATTCTAAGACTAAGGATCAGCATGATACGTACTTAAGGATAGTTTTACAGACTCTGAGAGATAAGTAATTGTATGCCAAGTTCAATAAGTGTGAATTTTGGCTTGACGAGGTAGCATTTCTGGGCATGTGGTTTCAACTAATGGTATTCGAGTTGATCCGAAGAAGATAGAGGCAATTCTTGATTGGAAGCCACCTAAGAATTCCATAGAGATTCAGAGTTTCTTGGGATTGGTTAGGAATTACTGAAGATTTGTCAAAGGGTTTTCTCTTCTTGCTACTCCTTTGACAAAGTTGTTGCACAAGAATGCTAAGTTCGAGTGGACTGATAAATGCCAAGCTAGCTTTGAGAAGTTAAATGCTATGCTTACTAAGGCTCCTATCCTTATACAGGCGGTTTCTGGTAAAGACTATATGGTTTTCAGTGATGCTTCACTTAATGGTCTTGGTTGTGTGCTTCTGCAAGAGGCTAAGGTAGTTGCTTATGCTTCTAGGCAGCTTAAGCCTCATGAGAAGAACTATCCCACTCATGACTTAGAGCTTGCTGCTATTGTGTTTGCTCTTAAGATATGGAGGCATTATCTGTATGGTGAGAAGTGTTTCATCTACACTGATCATAAGAGCTTGAAGTATCTACCTACTCAAAAAGAGTTGAATTTGAGATAGAGATGCTTAAAGATTATGATTGTGTGATTAATTACCATCCGGGTAACGCTAATGTAGTTGCTGATGCTTTAAGTAGGAAGTCTATGTATGCTTTGAGGGCTATGTTTGTCATTATGTCATTGAGGGATGATGGTTCCATTCAGACAGTTAAGCGTCAGACCGAGTTTGGTTCAACAGGTTAGAGATGCTCAGAGTTTAGATGATCAGATTGCTGAATGGAAGAAGTTGACATTAGAGGGTAAGAAGAAGAGATTCCAGATTAAGTATGATGGTTGCTTATATTTTAAAGATCATATTTATGTGCCTAAGATTCCTAAGTTGAGACAGATGATTCTTGATGAGGCTCATGTCAGTTCTTATGCCATGCATCTAGGTAGTACTAAGATGTATCATGATCTTAGAGAGTTCTATTGGTGGCCAGCATTTAAGAGGAGTATTGCAAAGTATGTATCCAGATGTTTGGTTCGCCAGTTAAGGCTAAGCATCAGTTTCTAGCCGGTCTTATGCATTCGATATCAGTGGCTGAGTGGAAATGGGATCGCATTACTATGGATTTTGTGATTGGATTACCTCTTATGCCTAAGAAGAAGGATTCTATCTGGGTTATAGTGGATAGATTAACTAAGTCAGCTCATTTCTTGCCAGTGAGGACAGATTACTCATTAGATCAGTATGGTCAGTCGTACATTGAGGAGATAGTCAGATTGCATGGTGTTCCTTCTTCTATTATTTTAGACAGAGACCCGAGATTTACTTCTAGATTTTGGGCTAAGTTGCATGAGGCTTTAGGTACACGGTTGCACTTTAGTACTGCTTATCATCCTCAGACTGATGGTAAGTCTTAGAGGGTCATTTAGACTTTGGAGGATATGCTTCATAGTTGTGTTATAGAGTTTGAGGGCAGTTTGAAAAAGTATGTGTTCTTGATTGAGTTTGCTTATAATAAAAACTACTAGTCTAGTATTCAAATGGCTCCATTTGAGGCATTGTATTGTAAAAGGTGTAGGGCACCTCTCTGTTGGACAGAGTTGAGCGAGGGGAAGATCATTGGATCAGATTTGATTAGAGATACAGAGTAAAAAGTTCAGTTGATTCAGAGTAGACTAAAGGAGGCTTCAGATAGCCAAAAGTCTTATGCTGATATAAAAAGAGGAGACATGGAATATGTTGTGGGTGATAAGGTCTTTCTTAAGGTTTCACCTTGAAGGAAGGTACTTAGATTTGGTAAGAAAGGGAAGCTAAGTCCTAGGTTCATTGGTCCATATGAGATCCTAGAGCATGTGGGTCCGTTGGCCCATAGACTAGCTTTGCCTCCTGAGTTGGATAGGATTCATAATGTATTCCATGTTTCGATGTTGAGGAGATATAGGTCATATCCTTCTCATGTGATTTATCCCGAGACAGATTTATCTTATGAGGAAGAGCCGATTCTTAGTTAGAGAAGTTAAGGAGTTGAGAATAAGAGGATACCTTTGGTTAAGGTTTTATGGAGGAATCATAAGGTTGAGGAAGCCACTTCGAAGAGAGAGGACAGTATGAGACAACAGTATCCACAGCTATTCTCAAGTAATTTCAGGGACGAAATTGCTTGAGTGGGGGAGAGTTGTCACATCCACATTTTCTAAACATGCCATTAGCATGCATTAAATCATTTTAGAGTTTCATCATGCATTAATATGAATTAATTATGATTCTGGTGAATTACAATGCTATAAGGGCATTTTAGTAATTTTTCATGTGTAGAAACTTTGTTTTGATAACACAGTGCAATTTATGATAGACAGTCATAATTTATATTATGCATGTGTGTAGTGTCAAATTTTAGCCATTGAATTGAAAAAGATCAAGTTAAATCTACATCATTTTATAATAAAGATAAAATTGATTTGGCACCTATATATCCTTTACCCAATGGTTTAAGACCAAGGATTTATGTTTTAACTACTATGCAAAATCAAAGGATATTATTTTAAGAAGATTCATTTGTACAAGAGTTAAAACACCACTACTCAATGGACAATACCCTTATGCACATTATTAACCTATGGACTAAAGCTTAATACATTCTTTTACCTAAAACAAAAGAAAATCACTCACCACTCACAATCAACCAATTCCAACGCCAACTCTCTTCTCCCTCTCTCTTTTCTTTCTTTCTTCTTTTTCTTTATTTTCTCTCTTTCTCTTCTCTCACCACCATGGCCAAACCTTACTACCTTCTCCATTCTCACCACTCACAATCAAACCAATTCAACGCCAACATCTCTTCTCCCCTCTGCTCTTTTCTTCTTCTTCTTCTTTTTCTTTTATTTTCTCTCTTCTCCCTTCTCTCACCACCATATGGGCCAAACGGCTTACTAACCTTCATATGCATTGGAAAACAGACCATTTCCTCTTCATAAAACTAAGTAATTTTAGAGAATAAGATCCTTAAGTATAGGATTTGAGAGTTAACTCTCTTCTCCCTCTCTCTTTTCTTTCTTTCTTCTTTTTCTTTATTTTCTCTCTTTCTCTTCTCTCACCACCATGGCCAAACCTTACTACCTTCTCCATTGAAACACCATTTCTCTTCATAAAACTAAGTATTTTAGAGAATAAGATCCTTAGTATAGGATTTGAAGTTTATTTCTCAAGATAAAGCTTTTAAGTGTGAGTTTTCTCTGCTCTTGAGCTACTACATCTTTTTCTCTTTTCTAAAACTCAAGTATTTTTCAAATCCAAGGCTAGTCTAGCATTATTCACGTCATTTGCATCATTTTAATGTCAAAATTTTTTCATTTCTTCCAAAACATGTAGTGAGTTTTCTTTTTCTTTGATTTTAGAGGGAGATACCTCCAAATCTAATGAAAAGAAAAGAGTCAACCTTGATTTTGTGGATTTCCAGCTTTTAAATCAAGGTTTGTGCTATTTTCTCATCTTCAGATATTTTTAGAACTTTTTTTTTGCGTGATTTTATATTTTTGTGCCCCAAGACTTGATTTTATGCTTTAAATGAGTTTATCTATGTTTAAGATGTCTCCTTTATGCTAGAAATAATTTTTATGAAATTTTAGTTTATGCTTTTCATATTGACCGAATTTAATAATGTTTTTTTAATCTATATTAGTTTTTCGTGATTTTATTCTTAAATCTACATGTATGAATGTAGTAGATGGTAAATATAGATTTTTGTGAAATTTAAATATTGTTTATATTTTTTTTATGATTGGCTAAACCTTATGGTATTATTTTCATGATGTTTAAATATTATTTTGTGTATGTGATATGTAAATATTGTTTTGTGATGATAAAATAATAAATATATTAATAAATTTTTGGACTTGTTATGAAAAAATTACATAGAGACAGAATTTATTTTGAATGCCAAATAATATTTTTATGACCCATGGACTTATTTGGACATGTTCTAAGGACTAAGGACAAAATTCTCCTATGCTTATGGAGATTTTGGACAAAAGGAGAATTTTAAGGACCAATATGACATTTTAGAAGGACCCAAATGCAATTTGCATTAATTATGGACTAAAGAGAAATTTGAACTAATTAAGGACTATAATTATAAATTGGACCCCTTAAAAAGGATAAACTGTGGACTATGAATAATTTAATATACCATTAGTTTGTTTATTCTAAATGGGATCCATTTATAATTAATAAGGACTTTAAGGATTAAATTATAATTTTTTTAATTAAGATGATGATTAGTTAGGATTAGTGATAATTAAGTAGTAGTAATAAATTATTTGGTTTGTACTATTTTAATTATGTGGATAGATAGTTAATTTTTGATATTTAGATTAATTAGGTACTTAATTGGTAAATAATAGGAATAATAAAAATAATGTGATTTTATGACTACTACATAAATTAGGTAGCTAACTAATATAATTTAGGAAATTAAAGGAATATTGGATTTAAGAACCCTCTTAGATCAATTAATTAATTAATTGATCCACTCAAGTCCCAATTAGGAGAATATTAGAACTAAATGAAATGTGGATTAATTAGGTGTTGATATACTATGTTAAAAATTAGTGCGTTGGGAATTAAGTCATGGTATTGGGAATTGTGTCTATTAATGAATTATGAATGATTATGTGAAAGTATGCTATGATTATGAATTTAATTGGATGACATGAATTTATGTGTATAAAATATTCTTTATGAATATATGTTATGGATTTAAGCAATTATATAAGAATTATGATTAAATAAGTGTGATCATGTGATTTATGGAAATGAATTTATGATAGAATATTTAGTATACAAAAGTATGATTTTTGTGAATAAATAGCATTTATAAAAAAGAATATTTTTCGAACTGCAATAAAATATTTCAGTGTAATTATGAGACCGGGCGTTTTATCTATGAACACTGATATGTATGAATTATGAAATGAATTAATTACAATAAATATTTTATCGATCTTGGTCTACTTGGTTGATTCAGTGGTTGTATAGAGGTATAACATGCCATAAGAATACAGTACTGTCTGTATATGACACGCAGTGTCTTATAAGGGCTAACGAACCTCATTTTACAGGAGCTAATGAACTCCAATTTAATAGGGGCTAACGAACCCAATTTTCTAGATATGACCATTTGATTCTGACCTATGGATCGTATGATGTTATATGGGCTTTCGAGCTGTATGTTTATTATGAAATTCTCTGTCTGCTATTTGATTCTTCTAAGTATGCTAAACGACTAATTAAAAATATAGTGTTTATAAATTAACTAAATAAATAATTATGTTACTTTTGTGAACATATGTTGATTTATGTGATATTATGGTTAAGTATGTCTAATTTAGTGATACATGATTATTGAATTAAATTAAGCATGCTGATTGTGAATATTTATATTATGCGCCGAAAATATGTTGTATTATGATTATGATGTCTGTTAATGAATAAATGATATGTATGATAATATGTGATATTATGATTGCTTATGTGTATTTTTCCTGCGATAAATGGGAAATAAGAATCACTAAACTTTATGCAAGTCAACGCGTAGGTTGTTGTTTCGGGATAGACAATCCACAGTGAGCATTAGACTATTCAGAGGCCCATATTCCATTATAGTCGATGTTCAACTTATTTCTCTTTTATTTCAGTCTTTAGAAAAATCTAAGGGCATGTAAATATAATTAAAGCACTAGAATATTTTTTATTTAAGTCAGAATATTTTAAATTAAATATTTGAAATAATAGTTTTATTTTCAGAGTCAGTTTTATGGCATCTAATGAATATTTTAAATGCTTTCAATTAAAAGGAACGAATTTATTATCTATGTTGAGTTATTATGAAATGTGTTGGATGATGGGTTGAGAATGTGGAGTTGCGTTGGAAAAATAAATTTGAAAATGTAGTTGTGGTGTGGACGGATTACAGAAGCATTTTAAATATTTTCGGTGTTTTTGTGATACTGAATATATAAGGGAAACTCTTGCAGTTTTTCTGTAGGATTTCTCCAAATTTTTTTTTCTAAGTCATTTTTTTAAAACTAAAGAAACTTTTTTAAATTGTTAAGTATTAAGTATGTCGGTTTAATACTTTGGTGTTAGACCTAATGTGGCTCTTAAGATCCTGTTTTACGAAACTGAATTTTGAGTTTCACACTTCGCTTGTCTGTTTCTACATTCTTAGTCAGTACTTGCTACGTTGTATTATAGCAATGGCAGCCTTAGGCTGCTGCCCATAGTTGAGCAAATGGCTAGATGATGCACGCCTTTTTCACTTATTCTGGCTGAGACTTTTATTTAGTTGGGAGAGCATGCTCGAGACTCTGGCTCGATGCTTGGTCCTATGGGGAGCCCGCCTCTATTGCAGGTAAATGCATTTTTATTTTCTTCTTATTTTCTTTATTCTTTTCTTTTCATATGCTCTAACTTTTGTTTAAGCCGCCCTTTGTGGGTTTTCGACTTAAAGAGTTTTTCTTCTATTATATATATATAAATTGAATGCATTTGCAGTTGTGGGCCTTTAAGAAGCTGTAAGTGATGGATCCACCATCGGACCATTTGATGTTCAATTATAAACCGCGAGTCTATATTCCACGCCACCGTTGTTTGACTGGTGAAACTGTTGAAGACTAGATTGCTATCTTTCATTATTCTTCCTATATGCTCTGCGTGCCTCTGTGTGTACTAACCATGGTAGTGGCTTATTATCCCTACCGTGTAGATAGGCAGTACGGTCATCATCAAGCTGTCCCTGATTACACTCGGTTCGAAGGTGGCCTTATTATACAACAATTTCTATCTCACTTTATTTTCACTTGGCTTAGTCGCACTATTGTACCCATTTCTCATGTGGCTAACATCTCTTCTTCAGACTTGTACCGCTTGTGGTTGCAGGGTTATTCTGGAGTCAGTGCTAATTTAGAGTCAGCTGATCTGTTGATTGCTAGATTTCTGCTAGGACCTGGCATGTAGATGCTCCTATCATGCTTTCTAATGAAATGTGCTAGATAATTATTGACAATGCAATTATATGATTGTATGCACTTATTATGAATGAAATGTCTTTTGCTTGCAAATGCTTGATATATTTTCTGCTATTCTATGTCATCAATGTAAATTCACATCACTTACATATCAACATAAACTTATCACAACAAGCTTTAAAATTAATAAGAACACAAAAGGTGAATTTATTAATTGGGCTTTGCCATAAACGTTTCAAGTTATACATAAACTTTCTTCAATCTATCCAAATTGACTACTTCAGTGAATTCATTGCCTTCCATGTCTGATAACTTCACTGCACCTTTTGAAAATATTTTCTCGATCAGAAATGGACCTTCCTAGTTAGGCTTTTGCTTCCCCTTGGGTCATGAATGTTTGGCTGCATTTGTTTCAGAACCAAATCCCCTACTCTTAGTAGCTTCGGATGAACTCTCTTATTGAAGTGCTTAGCTATTCTCCTTTTATATAGCTAATCCATGGATCGGGCATCAAGCCTCTTTCCATCTATGAGTGCTAATTTTTTATAATGATTCTCTGCCCATTGATGTTCTGGAATTTTGGATTCCATCATTACGCGCAAGGAATGCACTTTTATTTTCGTCAGTAGCACGACTTCCATTTCGTAGAATAGAGAGTGAGGAGTTGCCCCATTCGCAAATTTGGCAGTGGTCCTGTAGCCCCACAAAGTATACTATAGTTTGCTTGCCCAATCTTGATGGTTTTCTGCCATTTTCCTCAATATCTTCTTGATGCTCTTGTTTACAGCTTCCACTGCCCCATTAGCTTGTGGTCGATACGGTGAAGATTTATGATGCTCAATTCGCCAAGGAATTGCAACTTTTATTTTCGTCAGTAGCACGACTTCCATTTTCGTAGAGATAGAGAGTGAGGAGTTGCCGTATCCAGTTCGCGAAATCTTTGGCAGTGGTCCCTGTAGCCCCAAACAAAGTATACTAGTAGTTTGGCTTGCCCAATCTTGATGGTTTTCTTGCCCATTTATCCCTCAATATAGTCTTCTTTAGAATGCTCTGGTTTAACAGCATTTCCAACTGCCCCATTAGCTTGTGGTCGACCCATTAGCTTGTGGTCGATACGGTGAAGATTTATGATGCTCAATTCCATATTTTTCCAACAGTGTCTTTACTTCTGCTTGGAACTGAACTCCATTATCTGTCACTATATGATAGGGGATCCCATATCTGTAGATTAAGTTCTTTTCGATGAATTTGGCCATCTGCTTGGTGCCGATGAAGATTCTACTTCGAACCATCTTGAGAAATAGTCCACTACCACCACTATGAATTCATGTCCATTGGAAGCAGGTGGCGAAATTTTGCTAATGATATATATTCCCCAAGCTACAAATGGCCATAGCAAAATAAAAGGATGTAATTTTGAAGGCGGAGTGTAACTCAGGTCTCCATGAATTTGGCATTCGAAGCACCTTTTCATAAAAGTAATACAATCATTTTCTATCATCGACCAAAAGAATCCCTATCTGAGAACCTTCTTAGTTAGTGCTTTTCTATTCATGTGGGTGTCACAAACCCCTTCATGGATTTGTTCCATAATCTCTTCAGCTTCTTTCCTTGATACACATCTTAACAATACCCTGTCTGACATTTTCTTGCACACTTTACTATCTAAGACTGTAAATTGTAATGCCAAACATTGTATAGCTCTTCTGTCATCTCTAGTAGCTTAGTCAGGATAAACCCTTTTAGTCATCCACTACAGGACATCATAAAACCATGGCTAATCTTCTTCCTTTATATCCATAATCCTTTCTCCTTTATAAACCCCAAGACATTATAAACGACTTCTTAAGCATAACAAAAATCTCTTCCCAAGCTGATGCTAAATTAGCCAAAGCGTCTGGTACTCGATTGTTCACTCTACTTGTGTGTGTGAAGGTTACACTCTTGAAGTTCTTATTAACAATGTGTAGGTAGTCAATATAAGGCTTTAACCTATCCTCCTTAACTTTCTAATTTCTGTTAACATGTTTGATTACCAGTTTTGATTAACTTCAACTTCTTTAGCTTTAACGGCAATTAGAGCTTTTAACCCAAATAAGCAGGCATCATGTTCTGCCATGTTATTCGTAACTACAAACCGTAATCTTTTCAGCATCGGGATAACTTCTCCTTGTGGAGATTCTAACAAGACGCCTACTTCGACTCCTTTGTTATAAGTTGAACCATCAAAGTAAAGCTTCCATTCTTTCTTTTCTATCAAGCTCAGATGCTCATCGGGAAAATCAATCTCCCATTGCTCATTGTCTTCAATTGGATATACTGCTAGAAAATTTGCAACTACTCGTCCTTTGACGGTTTTCTTCATAGCATACTCAATATCAAATTTTGATAACAGGATTAACCATCTTGCTAGCTTCCCCACTAGTGCTGGTGTTCCATACAAATACTTGACTAGATCCATCCTTGATACCGCTATGACCTTATAAAACTGAAAGTTGTGTCTAAGTTTTCTGGTAGCCCATACCATTGCGTAGCAAGTTCTTTCAATCAAGTTATATTTTTTTTCATTTGAAAGAAGCTTCTTACTCACGCAATACACTGCCTTCTCAACACCCGCTTTGTCAGCTTATGCTAACATGGCTCCAATTCTAGCATCTTCCATTGTCAAGTACAAAATTAAGGATTTCCTTGGTTTTGGTGGGCATAAAACTGGGGGAGTTGACAAATATTCCTTGATTTTGTCGGAAGCTATCTGGCAGTGATCTTTCCACTTTACTGGTTGATCTTTCCTTAACAGCTTGAAGATTGGATCACATACTAAAAACAACTTCAAAATAAACATGCTGATATATTGAATCTTTATAAGAAAGCTTCTCACTTACTTTTCTATCTTGGGTGGCTCCATCTAGATATCTTTTCCACGTTACAGGTTGATTCTCTTAACAGCTTGATAGATGTGGGATTCACATTACTTAAAAAAGAAGCAAGCTTCATATAATGGTAAAAAATCATGCTGATATATTGAAAGTGCTTTTATATAAGGAAAGCTGTCTCCACTTACTTCTAGTCTTGTGGCCCATCTATAGTAATAATGCTTCTCCAACTACTGTGTTTTGATCTTTCCTTATATATCGTTGTCTTTTGTAAGATTAGTGTTCATTTCAAGACTAATATAACCAACTCAAAATAATTACTAGTTGTTCTGAGTAGTTGAATTGAAGTATCTTATTAAGAAAGCTTCTGTTCTATTCTTTTGTACTTTTCGTATCGTGTGTGGATGGCTCCATCTCTATGGATTCCTTAACAGCTTGAAGATTGGATCACATACTAAAAACAACTTCAAAATAAACATGCTGATATATTGAATCTTTATAAGAAAGCTTCTCACTTACTTTTCTATCTTGGGTGGCTCCATCTCTTGGATCTCCTAAATCTTTTCTGGATCGATCTCTATTCCTTTTAGTCATACTATGAATCCTAGCACTTTTCTGAGGTTACCCCATATACACACGTCTTTGGGTTCAATCGTAGCTTATATTTGATTACTCTATCCATGAACCACTCTAGGGCTACTGGATGCTCCTCCGACATCTTAGTCATTACAATCATATCATTAATATAAACCTCTAGGTCCTTGTGGATCATGTCATGAAATAAAGTGGTAGCCATCCTTTGGTAAGTAGTCTAGTGTTCTTTAAGCCAAACGCATTACCCGGTAGTAGAAAGTTTCAAACTTTGTCATAAAAGTTGATTTGACCTTATTCAATAGTGCCATGAGAATCTAATTATACCCTGCAAATCCATCCATAATGAAGTAGCATTCCATCATTGCTGCGCTGTCTATCGGGATAGGAAAATCATCCTTTGGTGATGCTTTGTTTAAATCTCTATAATCCATGTACATTCTGACCCGTCCGCCTTTCTTGGGAACTGGAACTACATTTGCTAACCATTCTAGATAGTGAACCACTTCTAGAAATCCTTCGTCTATCTGCTTGGTCACTTCCTCTTTAATCTTCTCGGCCCTTTCTGGTCTTAACTTTCTTCTCTTTTGTTTCACTGGCTTAGCCCCAGGACACAGTGGAATTGTGTGCTCAGCTATAGACCTGTCTATCCCTGGCATGTCTTCGTTTCTCCATGCGAAGGCTTCCTTTTTATCCATGAGTAGACTTTGAACTTTTGTGTTTAACTCTAGCTTTAGGTTTGGCCTAATTAATAAAATCTATGGTTTATTTTTTATGCCAATATTACATTCAAGCATGCATGACGAGTTGATGTCAAATATGCGCATGTGCTTATCTACTTGATGAATGGAACCATCAAGAAAGACATCAAACAAGTAAGATGTCAAATATGCGCATGTGCTTATCTACTTGATGAATGGAACCATCAAGAAAGACATCAAACAAGTAAGCAAAATTAAAGTTCATTTCATCAAAAAAACATTGATAGCTCATTACATTCATATTCATCTATAACAGAAATCACAACATCAGAAGGGGCTTCAGCTTCTTCAAAGCTTTCCTCTATACAGGCCCAGATTGCTTTAAGCACTTCATCTGCAAGGTTCTCTTCTTCTTTCTTAGTGATTGCCTTCTTATTACCCTCTTCTTCTTCTTCTTGTCAGGCAGCTTGCTCCTCCTTCTTATTCTCTTCCTCGACCGCTTGTGGCCCTCAATCCCCTCTTCTTGTAGTTCTTTCTCTTCTTTCTTTTCTTCCTCAAACTCTCATCCTCTGGGCTTAACCGCCAGGACCTAAATAACATTCGCAAAGATCTCTAGAACTAGGTATGTTCTCCTTTATGCTCAAATGGCTCTATTGGTAGACATAGAGAGGAGTGCTCACTCGAACGGACGAAACGTCCATCCATATCTAACCAACCCAATGTTTCCTTTAGTGTGCTTCCAAGCTTATAACCCAAGCCTAGGTGATTCCTTTGGGTGTGGATTTTAGGTAGTTCTGTAATGCCCTGTTGGTTCTTTCCAAGTCCTTTTTGGGTGTGGATTTTAGGTAGTTCTGTAATGCCCTGTTGGTTCTTTCCAAGTCCTTTCCCTTCCTCAAAGTTCATCTCCTTCATGATGTTGGAGAAAGTGAGCCCCATGTCAGTGCTTAGGACTGGAATCTAAAAACCAGTCCATGGGAGACTAATCCGTTTGTCTATATTTAGTGTGGCTACATTCATCTCACTAGCAACATGAATGGTGATGACCTCACCATTGAATGGAAACTTGATCTTTTGGTGCAGCGTTGATGGCACACCTCCCAAAGAATGCTACCATGGGCGCCCAAATAGAAAGTTTATTGTAGGGGGAATGTCTATCACAATAAATTATATCCCCTTTTCAATCAGCCTCACTTTAACCATTGTCTTGAATATGCTTCCACTTGTCTCTTAGAGTCATCGTAAGCTCGAATAACAACATCTGAAGATTTTAGATCAGACAATTCCACCTTAAACTTTGAAAGAATTTTCAATGGACAAACATTTAAAGCCGAACATTCATCAATCATGACATTTCCTATTATCATACCCCTTACTTCTGCCTTTATAAATAAAGTCTTAGTGTGATTTCTTCCTTCAGGAGGAAGCTTGTCATCAAAAAAGGTGGTTGTGAGGGGGTTATGTTGAACACACCCCATAATATCAGCTATAGAAATAGATGACAAGATCGAAATTTTGAACATAGCTTTCAGCAAAGCTTCTCGATGTTTCTTGGAAGAGACGATTAGGTCCCACATGTTCACATTTGCATGGATTCTTTTTAACTGTATAATCAAAGCATCATCTATAGTATCTTTCTTTGACACAATCGATGGGCTAGCTTTCTCATTTTCCTCCCTTGGCTTCACAATATTTGGTTGGTACACTCGACCAATGTGGGTCATATGATTCACTACTTTTGCTTCTTCCTCTCCCTCGCTACTCCAGATGTCAAGAGTAACGGGATTCACTATCATCTCATCTTCACTTCCTACCCAAACTTCCTCTTTTTGATTGAACCATTCCTTGTCGCTATCATCCCATACGTTTAAAACCATCACATAAATCTGCTCCAACAGCAACTCTCATCAATCAAATTCTAGATCTCATGTCTCAACAAAAGCTATTGGTCATTGGTGTAACCGTTGCCTTGGTGAAAATGACAGAATGCATTGCAATCAAAGCCCTTGGGCAAAGGTACTAGAGGAGGTCTTAGTATGAGTGGTCGAAAAAGACCTGCTGACTTCACCTTTTCAACCACCTTCGAGAGAGGAGTTCTGAGGTTAGGGAATCTTCTTTGTAGCACATTAGTAGCTCTCAAATCTAGGGTGGCAGTAGTTGTGTTCTTGTTTGCACTCGGGGTCTTTCCAGATGAACTAGACCCTTGGAAACAGGATTTATTGAAATTCCCCGTACAGTTCCCATGCTTCTTATCTTCTCTTATCTTGTCTTCTATGGCGGTCCCAACTTCATACACTTGTGAGAATCAGTTAAGGGCATGTAATACAATTTCTCTCGGAAAGCTAGCAGAGTCCCATTAATAAAGATCTTAATATGCTACTTGGTATTAGGACGGTTTCTCATTTGCGCGACCTTGGCTCTCCACCTAGCCATATAATCAGTTAAAGGTCTCATCATTTTTCTGCACAATAACTTCAAGATCCCTCAAGTTTACGCTCATTTGAAGGTTCTAAGCATACTCTTGTAAGAAAATTGTGGTGAGTTCGTTCTAATCTTTTCTCACCTTCTTTTCAAGATTATAATACTAAGTCTGAGTGAACCCGGTTAAGGACATGGGGAACATCTTTAGAATCTCCCTTGATGGTAGATCCTCCAATTCCATTATTTTTTTATACTGCACGACATGCACCTTAGGATAACCTGTGCCATCATATTTTGCCACCTTTGGCACCTTATAGGTCAAAGGAGTTGTATGCTTTAACTCAAGCTCATCATCATCATCATTGTCGATGTCTACATAATGATCCTTTCCCTGGGATTTCATAAAGATGTGGAGCCTTTCTAGCTCCTTGTTTAGCTTTTCAAATTTTTCCGACACAACTGGCTCGGGCTCGAGCTTGGTCTTCTTTGCAGGCATCTTCTTAGCAAAGTATTCCTTGTCCTGCCAAAATGTCATCCACGTGCTCTTTTCTTTCGGACTTGCCCTTGGCCTCATCATCTTCTATTATCACCTAATCCTTACCTTTATCCGACCGTAAGAGCTTTTCTCGGCTAGTTGGCACTATCTTTTCAACTATCTTCTCAATATCTGAGATAGGAATATTGATCTCAGCCATACTATTGATAGAGGTAGAAGATGAAACTGATAAATCTGCTTGAATTGGAAAGTTCTTAATCTCAATGCCGGAGTCTAAAGAATTGGTAGGAAATGAAACAGGCAAGTTGGAGGGGGTTGAAGGTTCTTCAACTCTAACCAAGCAATTGTTTGCTCTTAACCAATTGATTTCTTGTGAAGCTTTTTCCCTTCGAGGTGCTATCTTGACTGTATAAAATAAACGTTAGCAAACACAACATGATGCATGTAT